TTCTATACAGTTATAAAACATAAACAAGCCCCTCCCACAACTTCCAATTATAGGGATCAAAAGTACCTTCCTAAAATAGAAATCACGTGACGCAACTTCGAGTCACGTTATAAATCAGAGCTGTCTATAAATAGCAGCCCGGGGCTAAAAGAAAAACGACGGAATATGGGCAGAAAATTGTTTTTTACTTTCTCGTATATACGAAGTATAGAGAAAGTATTGTAATCGTGCAAAAAAAAAAATCGAGATTTTTACAAATCTCGACGTTTTACACCTCACTGATACGGAAAAACTTAATTTTGCAATCTTGTCCGTATGTCTGTGTGTGTGTGTGTGTGTGTCTGTGTGTCTGTCCGTGTGTAAACACGATAACTTGAGTACCGTTACACTTAGGTTGATGAAATTTCATATATAAGTATTATATCAAAATCGTAGATCCATATCAACTTTTGAGCGATTTCCGACAACCGGAAGTGGTACTTTTTCTACTTTGAATTTTTCAAAAGCCTATAACTTGAGTACTATTTCAGATAGATAAATGAAATTTCACATGTAAGTAAAAGATCTAATTCTCTACCTTCTGTTAAATTTTGAGTAATTTCCGTTGACTGGAAGTAGTAATTTACGCTACTTCCGATTTCTCAAAAAACTAATGTAAATTTTAAAAGTACTAATAATATTGCGCACTATTATGCGCTTTTTTATTTGGCGTTCACTTGGTGTGCAATTAATTTGTCTACGAGATTTTATTATATTTTTAAAACTTTAAGTATTTAAAATGGATTAAAAATCATGTCTATAGCCCGAGTTCCCATCCCCTGTTATTTTATATAAGAATATTCGAGAAAGTTTAGGGGAGATCACTCCCGGTTTATTAATCCCGAGCTTCGATATGCAGCACCTATATGGATAGTTTACCACATGTAGAGTTTCTTTCATGCATTTGTCCGGCCTCCCCTTCACACAACCCGGAGCATATACACTGCATATACACTGCATATACAACCCCCCCCCCCCCACACACACACGGGACGAAATTTTTAAAAATATAATTCATATTGAAATTTTATACTTTAACCAGTGTCCATCCCACACCCCCTCCAGAATATTTTAAGTGCGTCCCCCCCCCCCCCCCCTCCAAATCAGGTGTTCCCATCCAGGGAGAAAATCGTCTTGACCTGTACTTGATCTACCTCATGTAGCTTGAAAGACTTGTAAATTTCCTCCTATGAAATAAGCTCACACATTTTTAGTTTTAAAAAATCATGATCAATTTTTTTAAAAATTAAAAAGAATTGTTAACGAGATAGTTTCTGAAATGTTTTGAAAATATTTTTAAAGCATTTTGAAGAATTAAAAAAAAATAATTTTAAAATTACCCACCCACAATCTCTTGCGTGTGTGCTGACTTTTCAACAATCCAATCAACACATACAAACACCAACACCAACTCACCTCCTGGGCATAAATTATGGCACACAACTATTTTTCAACATAAAATAAACCATTCTCCCCTACTATCAGATCAGAGTTTGTTTCAGGCACCACCGCCCCCCCCCCCGAAAGAAATAGAATGTATACAGAATATATATACTTTTACCAATGTCTGCCCACCCCCCAAAAATTTCAAGTGGCCCCCCCCCCCCCCGGAGAAAAAAAGTCTGAAAGAAACACTGAACCAGATCACCCTGGTTTTGTGGGTTGTGGGTCGGACACCCAGGGGTTATGGGTCGGTCAGGCTTGCTTCAATTCCCTGCTTAATGTCCCATGACGCCATGTTTTTTTCAGTGTCGCCATTAATGTTTTCATTGCTGGAGTTTCCTGCTAGCGATCAAAGCTCGTGGATCCATGCATTAGATGGCGGGTTAGAGTAGAGACTTAGAAGCGAGCAGCCAGCTCATCGTTAAATCGTGAGGAATTTACGTGTGGTAATGTCATGAGGAATTTAGGCCTTAATTTACGTGTCCCGTGTTGCTAAAACAGGTTGAATTAACTTTGAGATGAATAAAGGATAGATAGACAGACAATCGTTTACGTTGAGAAAGACAAAAAAATGGTTTAATATAAACCGAATGGCATACATAGTTACTGGTACATACGATTATACAAATACATTTAATCGTTTTAGCTTGTAGATATATTTTTGCTACCTGTACAGTACAGTTCCCTTTTCAAACCTGACGGTCTATAGGGCATATACAGAGATAGTATGGTCAGCACTATGTCCAGCAGCCTTTAATTAATTTCCCTAACGTGAGTTAGGTACCCATCAGAGTTGGGTGGTCTCAGGGATGGTCTACTGACTTGAACCCGGATTCGAACTCGAGACTTACGGGTTAGCAGTCCAGCTCTCTACCGCTAGATCACGATACCTGAGTTGCTGGCTATTTTTTTATTATTTGAACCACAGATTGAAAGCCCAAAAGACTGGGACGGAACTAGTTGATTGATTGGCTACACCTGGAGGGAACCTGGGTGAGAAAATGGTACCGGACCCCAGCAGGGGTGACGTACAGTGATGATTGATCTTTTGATAGATCGGTCATTTGACCAATTGATCATTTGACCAATTAATAAATCACTTTACCCGCTCATCAAAGAACCGCTCTATAATTAACTCCACTGCACGACAGAATCATATAACATTTAACCATTGACCAACTGATCCGTATATTCTGTCACTCCTCAGTTGTCAATCTTGACGTATCGCAAGGTGTAGATAGTGAACACCTTATACACATTGGCCTGCTGCAACCTAGGTTATACCCTCTCTATACATTAGCAGCTTTTGCCGAAACCTTTGTTTCCATGGTAATGATGGCGGTAACCTTTAACCTAAAGTCCTTGCTTCCGGTTGACCAAAGGTACACATGGAATAGCAAGGCCGTGCTTAACAACTTCTCTCATTCAGCTATCTGAAACACAGAAAAAAAAAATAAGCAAATGAATGTGAAAAAAGAGGCACGGCAAAGAAATGCATGTGAAACTGCAGATAAAATAAAGGGACATAACACAACTGAATGTGTAACTAAACAAATACCTGTGTATTTTTTTTTAAAGTCTCAACACACATATATTATTCAACTCTAGCTGGCTCTCCCCCCCCCCCCCTCCTCCCCCCCCCCCCCCCAAAAAAAAAGAACCTTTTAAGGCTAGATTCGCCATGAGCTGACTGCCACACTTTAAAATAATTTTATGTGACAGAGGTCTCTTTCTGGCCAGTTGTTGCAGTTTGTTTTCTTTCCATTTAAATGATTTGACAGCCACGCGAAGATTTAGGATTAGGTTAACCTGACCCCCAGATTTCTTCGATCTGTTTAACTAGTTCAAACGTGTTTCTTGTGTTTATTATTTTTTCTAGAACCAAAGCCATTAGTTAACGGGACAGGGGGTAACGAGGAATCCCAATACAAGAGTCAATCAAAATGTTTTCAGAAGTAAAAGCAATCGGGCAAGCCCGACTATGAAATTATATAAATATATGTGTGTGTATATATATATATATATATATATATATATATATATATATATATATATATATATATATATATATATATATATATATATATATATATATATATATATATGTATATATATGTATATATATATATATATATATATATATGTATATATATATATATATATATATATATATATATATATATATATATATATATATATATATATATATATATATATATATATATATATATAAATATATATATATATATATATATAAAGTGTTTGTGTGTCTTTATATAGGGTGTCATATCATTTTTTACCAATCAGATCTAACACAGTAAAGATTTAATAATCTAAAAATAAACTGGTTTGGTAAAAGAAAACATCTAATTTATGGTGGGGGTGGTGGGGGTGGTGGAAGTAAGAGTGTTGTCTGTTTATTTGGGCTGTTATTTGTGAGAATGTTGGACACGGAGTAATGCGAGTACAAGTAAAGATCACCTTTGGAACCCGGACAGTGCAAATGAAGTAGAGTTCACCTCTGTCTATGATATCAGTTCTAAAGCCAGCCGCTTTTATTTTCCCTAAATTTAGTAGTTAGTAGTCTTTGCGCTCTAACCACCCGACCACGCCGTTCCATCGTTGGAATACAGTATCCTATAATTCTACTTATTTAAACGAACATATGTAACAATTTGAATAGTTAGGTCTTGAGTTAACAATTCTCACATGACTGATGCTAGTAACGTTTTAAGTCGTACCCTGTTTCAATCTATTCATCTATTCCAGGGGTCTCCAAACTACACCCGCGGGCCGGATGCGGCCCGGAAAGTCCTCTCATCCGGCCCGCGGAGATCTTTTTGTCCAAGGAAAAATTGTTTGTTGGTGATGGCTGAGGAACTTTGCGCAGAAAAATCAAAGACATGCCTGGAAGAAACTGGCCCCCGAACTAAAATTTGAAAGTTAATACGGCCCTCGGACTGAAAAGTTTGGAGACCCCTGATCTATTCAAAAAGCAATGACATTTCAAAGACTTTAACCAAGACTCTTTGTAAATTATACTAATATAATAGATGTAGACCAAGGGATGTGACACACTTAGTACCATGAGACTTAACTCCTGATCCATCACATTCCGGGTGGATAGACGTAGAAGAGATTTGGTGTTATATAATATCCAGGACAAAGAGACGTAACTCATCTCGGTCAATGGACTGAATAAAGGGACATAAGTCATCACAGAACCAAGGGATGTAATCACCCCATACAAGGGACGTAACTTAGTCCCGACCAAACGACGGAAGTGGGGCATTGATTTTGAAGTCGGCCAAAAATGTCATTCACAGAACGATGCAGACGGCTGTAAACGGCCTTTCACCGGATGGGGCACCGCGGGACACTCCTTCTCGCGGTGGGCTGACCCGCGTCGACCCCAAACTCAAACCACCGGGATCCCACGCTTCAATACTTGAGCTGCACCACGCGATTTACCCGCCACCCCCCAGGCGACAGGGAGGATATGCAGTTCATTTTTTTTTTCACCCTGTACATTAGTCTGAGCAGTTCAATTCTGAGGCGAGGGTGTGGACCGAATGGTATGAAGTGTAGGTGTGTGTTCAGGCCTAGCCAATCACGACGCGGCTCGGGTTTATTTATAAATAACTTGTACCGCATAAAGCCTCGTGTCGTGTTTACGTTGGGTTGACTCGCTCGTATTGTTTGTTTTGAGCCAACTTTGATTCATCGAATTAACAGCCCGACTCGGTAACTGAAGAAATAGGATTCGCGGGAAGTGAAATACGAAACTAAATCTACGATGTAAGTAAATAATTTGTTAAGGTATAATTTCCGTTAGAATATTTTCAAATTCTACTAGGCCCTACTAGATTTACGCCTTATATATAGGAGCCTACTTAATATGTTTCGGGTTATATTTGTCTTAAGTCATTTGATTTATTGGTGGATTAGCTACAAACAGCTGATTATTTTACCAGATCATTCGGCTATTTATTACAAAAAATGTCCAACGTTTTGTAAGTCAAGACTTTAAATATTTATTTTTTATTTTTTTATATTGTGTAAGCAAAAAAAAAACTTAGCCATTGTATGCCTGTATGATAAAGGGAATTAAAAGATAGGTATTTCATGCCCAAATATGTGTGGTGAAAATACATCATTATTTAAAGGGATACGTTTTTTTATACCAGACTTTGCCAATAAAATCGGCTCAAAAAGTCCTTGGCAATAAACTAGGCCTGCTATGTGTGCTGTCGTCGTTCCTGTCATAGTCCTAACATAAACATTTGATATCACGTGACCACTAACAACACCCATTGTATTGTTTATGACCGGACTTAATCGGATACATAAGCTACTGCTGCTCTCTTAGCATAAGGCAAAGACACTTCAGTTATAAATAGAAAAAAATACTCAATTTAAAATACAGAAAAAAAAACTCCATTTACAATACTGGAAAATATTCCACTTAATTTACATTACGGAAAAATGACTCATTTTACAATGCGGAACAAATATTTGTTAAAAAATACGGGTGACGTAGGTCACATCAAACTCGCCGTGTCCGAAACTGCAATATCACTTGACCTTGACATAGCTGCTGACCTTGCGTACGCAGCATCCGGGCTTGTGGTCTGTTGATGTGGTCGCCACAAAAAAAAATACAAACCACAGTCTTAAAATGTCAAGTCGTTCTAATTCAGCTACTTAACAGTCCGCGTCGTATGTCGCAGTGGGTGAAGACTGGAAAAAAAAAAAACTACCATTTTTAAGTCAACTGTCGTTGGTAGTCGACTCGTGAAATAGGACGGAGACGGCTGGGGTGCAGCAGACGACACGCTCGGCGCAGGTAAACACCACGTGGTTGGCCGTGTTACGAAACGTACTCATGTGCTTGCTCGGAATGCGATGAAACCGATTTCGTGGTTTCCTGTGACTAGAGTTCAGTGTGTTCACGGGACTGTGGATTTATATTTGTGTTCTTGCGGTTTTCGTGTGGAGGATTAAAGTGACATTTGTGTGTACTTAGGTTACATAGGCCTACATTCTAGTTCAGCAACGTAAGTTTTTTTTTTATACCCCTAAGCCCTGTCGGTATATTCTATAAGTATAAAACCATGCTCGTTTTAGAGTTTTAGATTTTCGTATTACTTGGTAGTCGATACTAGTTTTCCAATGATAAAAGTAAACTTCGTGTTTAGAGAGCCCATTGAAATTATCTCACCTTAATTTAATAACTAGGCCTGGGAATTTTGTTGTTGTTGAAAATGTAATGGAAACGAAGGTGTCATGATTTAAAAAACTTCGTCTGTTATGGACTACCCCTTAGTAAAATTGAATATTTCAACCCCTTTTCTTTTTGCTACGTTGACTTTGATTCAGGAGCTGAAGAAACTCTAACCGTGATAGCCTTTTTCACCGCTACACCCGTCGACAGTAGGACACATGACATTAAGGCGCTAGACAAAAGGAACCCGTGTACAAGTGTTTCTCCCAGTAACCGAGTAACCTCCCCTACACAGAGTTCAACGTTGGGCATGGTTTCTGTCTATTGTAGCATACAGAAACCTGCACCCAACTCTAGGAGTTCGTGTCTATTGTCTGAACATTTTATAAATGTCAAGAAATGACTACTTAGAATTTCAGCGCGGTTATTAAATGGCACACTATATTTTATTTCACTTGTAATATTTTGCACATCATTTGACTGAAACTGACGACCAATTCATTCAAATAAACTAAGCGACCATCTCATTCATTGGTCTCACACATTGATCTAGATTCAAGTTCACGAGATTTTTTAATTTAAAAAAAAATCCAGATTTTTAAATTTTACTATACGCCATCCTTACATTATGATTGGCTGAATTTATTCACGAGAAGACAAAATGTAACATACAGCTTCATGTCGATCTGAGTTGCATCCAATCTCTTTACACTTTAGTATTCAGGTGTAGTCAGTCATTGCACACTAATCACGTGTTCTCCAGCTAAGACAAATAGAAAAGGGTATTAGAAGTGGCAGCCAGTACATGGATGGTTGCCATGTGTCACAGCCTTTTTGTGTGACTGGGTTCACGATATAAACTAAAAGGAAATACCAACCACATTACTGGAGATTTCACAATTTTATTAATATTAGATCTACATATTCAGACTGATATTCAGCAGCTACACTACTCAACAAACACCACTCAGTTTCGTCATCTTTCTTGTTCTGCCGCCTTCTACCTCCCGCTTCCTTTCCTTTCGCGCATGCGCACACCCACACTATCTCCCTGAATCCAATTCGCCTTTTTTTTAACACACACACTCCCAACATTCATTCATAAACATTTAACTGTTATACCATGACAACCAGAGATTTGACACTCAGAGATGTCACAGTCAGAGGTGCGACAACAAACTTCTTATTCCAACAACAACAAACACACACACACACACACACACACACCCCAGTCTCCAGCCTAGCCTAGATCAGGTGCTTCCAATATTCCAGACTTCGATTCCCTGCACGACCTCGCCAGATGTCCAGCCTCCCAGCCTACTCACTCCTAAAACTGAGGCCCATGTTCATGTACGTCTTCTCACTCCTTAAAACTGAGGCCCATGTTCATGTACGTCTTCTCACTCCTTAAACTGAGGCCCATGTTCATGAGCGTCTTCTCACTCCTAAAACTGAAGCCTATGTTCATGTACGTCTTCTCACTCCTAAAACTGAGGCCCATGTTCATGTACACCATTCACTCCAAAAGGCCCATGTTCATGTACACCATTCACTCCAAAAGGCCCATGTTCATGTACGTCTTCTCACTCCTAAAACTGAGGCCCATGTTCATGTACAACAACCACGTGAAGACTCACCGTGTACGGCTAATCGCAAATCACACCTCTGTCTCGAAGTTAATCACTAACTAACCAACTCCATCAAATTTTTAACGGAAAGTAAACCACTCCAGTATGAACGTTATTGAACGTAAAAATCACGTAGTATTTGAAGAGAAAAGTGAGTCAGCGATTTCCCAGCATGCCTTCTTGATGTTCCGTCATGGAGTCTGTATATTCCTCAGCAGGTCCTAAAAAATTTGGCGCCAAAAGACAAATAAACCAGCAATGACGTCACACGTCTGTTTACAATCGCTAATTATAGCTTTGTTTTAGATTGGGGGAATATTTTAGTTGATTAAGGTGGAAAGGGTGGGGAGGGGTGATTGCCTTTCAAGTAAAATAAATTTGTATAAAATAATGGTAGGCGAGAGATGCTTAACGACGCTATGTTTACGTCTGGGGTCTAAAGTTTCTAGGTTTAGATCAATCCTGCACTGGGAATGTAAACTTTTGGAGAGGGGCGCGTCGTCGGAAGGATGGTCCGAAAGGCGCCCACGGACCATCTTGTCAGATGTGGGGTTCTGCTGGGGTGTGGGATTTTATTTTATGCCTGGTGGATTCTTTACTGCACGCTGGTGGGATCTTGAAGTACACGTTGGTGGATTGGTGGAATCTTGAAGTACACATTGGTGGAATCTGGAAGTACACGTTGGTGGATTCGGCGGAGTCTTGAAGTACATTTATATTCGTGCAATCGGGTCTCCATTACGGTGGATTCTGGTAGTACACATTAGTGGATTATCGTATTACGTATTGAAGAGTTAGTCCGGTGGATTGTTTTAGCACATGAATGGATTAGTGCAGTGGATGTAAACATTGGTGGGTTAGTGTATCAGAAAAATTACGTGACATGTACAACACGGCGTCTGGCTGAGCCAAGCTTAGAGTCACGTTGACATTGTCGAAACACCAGGGACCTGGTACCAATACTCAGTGTTGTGTAGTTTCAGGCGTGGGTTCGGTTGTCATGGTAACCAACCACAAATCGAGATCTCAGCTTCTACATGTTAAGCTCTTTTAGAACAAGAAGTTCAGAACCGCTGTGAGCTTGAATAAACCATGTAGGTGCCGAAGACACCATGTATGATGAATACTTTTCATATGCCTCTGGGCGAATTCTCCGACTGTTCAATGTAAAATGTCCTACCTGTGCCCCGTATACCCACCCCTACCCAATATGCCTTACCTGTGCCCCGTATACCTACCCCTACCCAATATGCCTTACCTGAGCCCTTTATGCCCTTTACCTGCCCTTGATCTATGCCCCTCCTAACCAACCCCCCTCCCCCCGCCCACTTTTAACTACTATGAGCAATTAAAGCTGTAATTATTTCCCCATACGAACCCTATCTATAGAATACTCCCTCGCTTAAACTCCCCTCTCCCATCCATCTTGTCTTTTCACATCAACTAAAACTCGTGTTTCCTTTAAACCGTTCTAGCTTCTCACTCAAGTTCTGCCATTTTTCACAGCCGTTAAAATATTGAAATTCATAAAAAATAAAGTTCGTTAGCTCTTTAATGAAGAGAGACAGTTAAAAATATTTTGAGAGAAATTTTAATTGCTGTTTTGAGTGTTACATTTTTTTAGCCAACTTCCTGCACAGACTAAACTTGTGTTGAGTTAGTTCCCTTGAACTTAGAGTTGAGTCTGTACAATTTTCGGATTTTGAGGTTCTTTAGTATTAGCGAAGTTCTATTGGAAATACGAAGCTTTATGGAATTTATATGGTATTTGTTAACAAAGCTTAACTGCATAGACTTTTATTTTGGTATGCTTTCTCTCGGTAAGTCTCATGTTTCGTGTCGTTGATGACCATTGCATTGTTTTTTATCTTCTACAGAAACCATGAAATCTATGGAACTATTTTTATCTATTTTGGCCTTGACCCTATTGTCATGCAGTGCAGGTGAGTGTCTGGGGTGGTCAATGTTGGGACATATTGGTTGCCATGGTTACGATGTTGTGGTATTTTCACAACGTTGTTGTTTTGTTGTTGTTGTGTAATGAAGGTGTCTACCTGTAGTAAAGGGTTATTACGATGTCAAAGGTATCTTCCTATAGTGTAAGTTTGTTCCTATAGTAAAGATGTCTAGCACAGTGAAAGTGTCTTCCTATAGGGAAGGTTTCTTATAGTAAAGATGTATAGTGTAATGAAAGTATCTTCCTATAGTGAAGGTATTTTACCTATAGTAGATAAATCTTCTGATTGCGTTCTCTAGAAATGCTGGTATCTATTTCCAAAACTTGTTTGCCCGATGCTATACACATTGTAGATCTACTGCCAAATCATCAACGTTAAGTTTGTATATGGGGGGTAAGACAACTATCGATTAGATCCACGAAGTTAGTTATCATCAAGTGATGATAAAAGCAACGGCTCTTTCAATTTAAAATGTGTTGTATTTGTATATCGCTTGCAATATTTTAACACGGAGTCGTGTTCAACGATAAAATGGATTTATAAAAAAAATTAAATGTCGCTCTGAGGTTTTTAAATTTCGCAATACTCTTTGGCCTAGTTTATTGAATGAAACAGTTCTACGCCATTAGTTTCACGCATGAACAGTCAAACGAAATCAACAAATCAAATCACGTTAGTATTTCATTCCGTAGATCGTTAAAAAGAGAAACACAAGAAAGCTAAAAGTCTGAATAAATTGCTTTAAATCCAGTTCATGAACTTGAAAACTGGTTGTTTCTGCTGTTTTTTTTTTTTTTTTTTTACACCTTGTACACATTTTCCCACCCCAAATGTTTGATATAGGCCTACGCATAGTTTGAGGTAACATATCGTACGGAACAGGATAGTCAAACGGGTTCCATTCATAACGAGTCTTACATCCGGTATGCGTACCGTGGCCGCAGTTCGTCACGCCCGCATTCACTGATTTTAAACATTTTTGCGGCGCCCTACTTAACAAATAGACCATATCCCACTGTTGATTTCCCATTTTAAATACAATTTTTTTTTTTGTTCCGTCGAGTGTGTGAATGTTTTGTATTTCAAGCGGTGGTATTGCGAAATTTTGGTTTAGACACGAGCATTCATGGGGCGGGGTGGGAGGGGGATACAAGGCCAATAGACATTTGTTGTTTTAAATTGTATATATTTATTCCGTTGCCAAGCGGAGAGAAAATGTTCATTACAGCAGCGTATTTAAAAAAAAAATTAGAGTTAATTTATTTTTTTTAAATTCCCAGAGAAATACAAAAATCTATGTACATTAGTATTTGCTTTGAAAATAAAAATCAATATAAATTAGAATTTGGTTTAAAAATAAAAACCAATGCTTATTAGTATTTGCTTTAAAAATAAAAACCAATGCTTATTAGAATTTGCTTTAAAAATAAAAACCAATGCTTATTAGTATTTGCTTTAAAAATAAAAACCAATGCTTATTAGTATTTGCTTTAAAAATAAAAACCAATGCTTATTAGTATTTGCTTTAAAAATAAAAACCAATGCTTATTAGAATTTGCTTTAAAAATAAAAACCAATGCTTATTAGAATTTGCTTTAAAAATAAAAACCAATGCTTATTAGAATTTGCTTTAAAAATAAAAACCAATGCTTATTAGTATTTGCTTTAAAAATAAAAACCAATGCTTATTAGTATTTGCTTTAAAAATAAAAACCAATGCTTATTAGAATTTGCTTTAAAAATAAAAACCAATGCTTATTAGAATTTGCTTTGAAAAAAAAACAACCATGCTTATAATAGTATTTGCTTTAAATTTTCTGAGCAATTATGTGCCAGTAGAGACCCAGTACCCGGATGAAAAACACGTCTTATGTTAGATCAGTGTTTCTTCCAGACTTTTTTCTCCGGGGGAGGGGGGGGGCACTTGAAATTTTCGGGGGGGGGGGGGGCGGCAGACTTTCTTCGGGTGGGGGGGGGGGGGGGGGGAGGCGGACACTGTTAAAAGTATATATTTTCTATATAAATTATATACATTTCATTTCGTTCGGGGTGGGGGGGGGGGGCGGTACAAAATTTTCGAAGCCCCCCCCCCCCCCCCCCCACCCCCGAAGAGATGCCTGGAAGAAACTCTGTGTAGGATATTATAAAGTAGCCCACACGAAGGCCTGTAGTTCCAGTCTTCGTGCTTGGTTGTTATGCTAGATAGGATTTCCCCTAACACAATTACAATATTACGTGTCAACTTGTTATGCGCCATATAAGCAGTTGACTCCGGTTTCAGCCTGCTTTTCTGTCTGGATGTATTTCTATAGACATTGTCCAACCAAGGACAAATTACAAAGCAGCAGTTGTTTAATTTTGGAGTTATCTCTCCTACGTGGGTGGCTGTCCCCAGCTATTTAGTTACATCTGCAATTCCTGAAACTTTTCGGTTTAGCAACCATGGGCTCTAAATACCCGACCACGTCAACCCCCCGTTGTTTCATTGATTTACCCGTATCCCGTGGCGTATGTAGGATTTTGTCATGGTGTGGAGGCAAATAAGCCTACATGTGATTTAAAGAACACACATGCGATTTAGACGAATATACCAGGGGTCGGCAACCTTTTGAGACGGAAGAGCCAAAAGTCACAATTTACAAAATTTCCCAGTTTTTAAAGAGCCACAACATTTTTAATTCAATATTCGGTATTTGATTAGGATCAGTGGCGTAGCGAGGTGTCACCCGGTGCGGCACTTAATGGTGTCACCCCCCCCAGAGGCGTAGCGACCCTTCCCGGGGACAAACTTTCAAATTTTCGATTTGCACCCCCCCCCCTCAAACGTTTGATTTGCACCCCCCTCAAGTTTACAATTTGCCCCCCCCCCCCCTCAAACTTTCGATTTGCACCCCCCCCCCCCTCCCTCTAGTTTTTCTCTGTATATTTTGCTATTTTTTGCCTTGGTGTCACCTCCCTAAATGGTGTCACCCGGTGCGGTCCGCATCCCCCCCCCCCCCGCTACGCCTCTGATTAGGATTCATATAAAATCATACACATGTTTCGCCAGAATAATTATCTTAGTAATCAAATATAATTATAGGACTATCAGTCACTATCCCAATCCACTTTAGAGGCTGCTAGCTTTTTTTTTTTTCTTTCTTTACGGATATTACCTGCTCAGGAGGTGTCTGCCATTAGCCAGGCAGGCCTCAACACGGCTAACTTGGACTAACTGGCTTGAATATCGTTTTGATAACAGTGTATCTGTCGCTTCTGTCCTTTGGCTCTCACCCGGCTTATATTCCACCCCACTGAACACAGGGTAAACTCGTACCCCACCGTCCAGTACCCGGCTCAACAGTAGGAAGCTTATAGCTAAAAAAAAACTACGTCACTCATTTCAAATTAATTATTACTGATACATAGGGAAATGCATTCTGAATAAAATAGCATTCCCCATTTAAAAACATTCGAAAAGGTCGGCACTTGGGCAGTGGCAAGCATGGGATTGTTGTCACGGGGTTGTGGGGCTGGGCCTTGTGCCCAAGCTGCTGTCAGCTGTCCGTATACTTTCTACTGTGCATATTATAACTGATCTCTGATAAGTGTTTTAATTCTGTTTCAAGTTGTTTTTCTTTACAGAATGATATTTGATATGGGTTTTGAAAATGAAATAATATAACCATCAATATTTGTGCAAGGAGCTGAAGAGCCGCATCTTGACGGCAAAAGAGCCGCATGCGGCTCGCGAGCCGCAGGTTGCCGACCCCTGGACTATACCATTTTTGATGAGGTAGGAGGGGTGGCAGGTTCTAAACCCCCCCCACCCAAATACACATCTACCTATGCCCCTTACGATATTGGGGTAACAACAAGTAACTGCCAAATAACCCGCTGTATCCGTCAAACTTAAGGCGTTCCCCAGATAGACTAGCTCAAGTTTACGGTAATTGAGAAAGTAGACGGTACGTGATTAGCCGTGTTTTGATGACGATGCGGGTTTCACTTTCCTCCACTTGAAACGACTGGCTGTGCGAGACGCTACTATATGTGGGAACCGCTACTGTATGTAGGCCATAATGTGGGAACCGCTACTGTGTAATTGGTTTAAGTAGTTGCATCCCTTGTTCATAATCCAGCGATAATTAAAAAAAAATAATTTCCCACGGAATAAATAAATTAATCTTCAATGGAGAAAATTAGCTCCTTAAAACGAGTAGGTTCTATGTCCTATGACAAATTCCTATTTGGCGACTCTCTGCTAGTCGTAAGTCCGTGGCAGTATTTATACACGGGGGTAATTTAACCTTGTATGCCTGTGGGTTTGGGTTGAAACAATACCTAACAGCAAAACATCCCTGTAATAACATTTAACTGGTATGTTCGTCAACTGTAATTATAAACCTTTAAGTTGGCCCCTTTTTGTGTTAATCCTTACCTCGTATACTTATGAGGTCGTTCTCATAATTACCAATCAGCTCCTAATTACTAATCTGTACTAATCCTCAGCCTGTTAATGTCTGTTTTCTGGGTCCCAATCCTCTCATTGTCTGTTGATACTTGTCTCCTAATTACTAATCAACTCCTAATTACTAATCAACTCCTAATTACTAATGATCTTCTTATTACTAATGATCTCCTAATTACTAATCATCTCCCAATTACTAAACATCTAATTACTAATCACCTCCTAACTACTAATCCTTACCTAAATCCACACAAGCCTTTAGACAAAGAAATCCCTAAGGGCCGTTAGTTTACCTTAACTTGTGTATATCCTGGTGCATGTGTACCCTCACCCAGAGGTTACGTTGACCTGCAGCTTACCAGTGCCATGCTTCCAGCATGTGTTTATACATACCCAGGGGGGGGGGGAGTTTCTACTTGGTACATCTGTACTTGTCTAATTCCACAAACTCAACGTAAACAGTCTCCACTTGATAGGGTGATAGGTTCTGATGTTGTTTGTGTGTTTGTGTTTGTGATGTGGTCTTTAGCGAGAAGTAATAGAGATGATAGATTATGTTATTGTGTGTGTGTGTTTGTGACTATGTCTATAGCTATCCCCTCCTACAGGGGATAGGTTCTCATATTGTGTGTGTGTGTTTGTGACGATGTCTTCAGCGAGAGCTAATAAAGGGGATAAGTAGGGGGAGGGGTAAGAAGTGTAATTTACCATACATTTTGTATTCCTAACAATAAAAAATTGATGAAATATAATTTCATTTTGCATTAGAATTACGATTGTATTATTTCGCCGTGGGGAGACTAGCGATTATCTTTTTGTAATATTTTTTTTTTACTACATGGGCTGCTCCGGTAGCGAGATAAGTGGACTAAAACAAAGGACCAAACGTTTTTTTTTTAGACAGCCTACTCTCTTTCACTCATGCGACCTTCACCTCCTTGTTTAAATTTTCAAACATAATCTTAACATTTCCCAGAAAACCCCTGCTGCTCCTTCCCATGCCAGAACAAGGGCATCTGCCTGACGGGCAGAGAACCCGGCTCCTACACCTGTGACTGCGGCAACTCGGACTTCTACGGCCCGCACTGCGAGACACGTAAGTTTCAGGTGGCCATTTTTAATAGGCTATTTATAGCATATCTATCTCATCTCGAGATAAGTATTTTTTTTTTTACATTGATTCGCGTTGAGCGCTGATGGATGAATAGATAACAATGAATGCCGTGGTAGGTGATGGATGTTTGTATGAAATAATTTTAGCATAAAGATTCTTTGTTGTCCCGCATCAAACGTTGTGGCTGAGCAGACAAAGACTACGTTGTTGTTTGCTATACAGCTAATACGTTGTGTGGGGCTACCTGTTGAAATGTTAGAGATGTGGGATAAGGTGGTAGCTACAAGTGAAACGGGTAGGGACTGTGTTGGTGAGGTCAAGCAGAAAGGTCGGGGGAGTACACGGTTGTAAAGGTGTGTGGTGGCGGTGATGACGTGTGACCGCGGTGGGGTAGGACTGTGACGAAGATTGGCAGTACGACTGTGGCGGTGGTTGGAATACGGCTGTGACGACGTGTGACGAAAGTTGGCAGTACGATTGCGACGATAAGTGACGGTGGTGGGGGTACGGCTGTGACGATATGTGACGAAGGTTGGCAGTATGACTGCGACTATGAGTGACGGTGGTGGGGGTACGAATGTGACGACGTGTGACGAAGGTTGGTAGTACTACTGCGACGATGAGTGACGGTGGTGGGGGTACGGCTGTGACGACGTGTGACGAAGGTTGGCGGTACGACTGTGAGGACGTGTGACGGTGGTGGGGGACGACGTGTGACAAAGATTGGCAGTAAGACAGTGATAACGTGTGATGGGGCTGGCGTACGACTTTGACGACGTGTGATGGTAGTGGGGGTACGCCTGTGGCGACGTTTGAGGTACGACTGTGACGATATGTGACAAATATTATGGTACCACTGTTACGATGTGTCACAGGGGTGGGGTACGACTGTGACGACATGTGTGTGAAAGGTGTGTGATGGTTGTGTGACGGTTCTGGAGGAACCACTGTGACGATGTTTTTTTGCAATGTCCATAAGGTGAAATGTTTAGTGGGTTATTATATTGTATAGTTATTATTTTATTTCGACAGCTACACTGACCAAAATTAGACACCTTATTGCGAAGATGTATCGTTGGATTTCGAAAACTACACTGACCACACTAACACCCGACTAAATAACGATGTATTCTGTTTGATCTCGAGAACTACACTGACCACACTAACACCCGACTAAATAACGATGTATTCTGTTTGATCTCGAGAACTACACTGACCACACTAACACCTGACTAAATAACGATGTACTATGTGTTATCTCGACAGCTACACTGACCACACTAACACCTGACTAAATAACGATGTACTATGTTTGATCTCGACAGCTACACTGACCACACTAACACCCGACTAAATAAAGATGTACTATGTGTTATCTCGACAGCTACACTGACCACACTAACACCCGACTAAATAAAGATGTACTATGTGTTATTTCGACAGCTACACTGACCACACTAACACCTGACTAATTAACGATGTACTATGTTTGATCTCGACAGCTACCCTGACCACACCAACATAACACATTATGTAATAACGATGTATTATGTATGATTTCGACATTTAGACTGACCACCCATACACACGATATAATAAAGATATATTATGTTTGATCTCGACAGCTACACTGACCAAGCGCCTGAAGTTGTTCCTCCGACCGTCCAGCGAGACCCTCCACAACTGGCTTGTGAGCCCCTCCCTCAAGTGGATATGGGACATCATCAACAACGTGGAGTTCTTACACAACTACGTCTTAAAAAGAATCTATTTGCGTGAGTCGCCTCCGTGTCAAGTTACTTCACGTGTCTGCCAGAGTTTCTTCCAGGCATCTCTATCGCCCCCCCCCCCCGAACGAAATGGAATTTATATAGAAAATATATACTTTTAACAGTGTCCGCGCACCCCCCCCCCCCCCGAAAACAGGAGAAAGTCTGAAAGAAACACTGGTTCTCCTTAGATCTGTTGTCTGCATGTTGGGGGGGGGGGGGGGGGCAACTAGAGCGGGTGTTCCCGTGCCCCTTAGCAACGCCATTGACCGCCATGTTTTATTTCCTATATCAGACAGCTCTCGCCCATATTGCGATGTTTATTTCTTACAACCTGGAATGGAAAGTAGTGGCGCCCCCTGGATTTAAATGTGTGAGGTGGGGGTGGGAGGATGTATATAGAGCAGCCATTCGTTCATTAGCCGATGATGTGATGCCATAACTACACCGGATCGTAATTTGGATGGGGGGGGGGGGGGATGGGGCCAATTTTATTACAGGGAAATATCAGCAGTTTTATTTACCTTTTTTTTTTTGAACCACGTTAAATATTTAGTTCACAAGAAATCCAGAATCAAACGGTTTTAATGGCATAACTGTAGTTGTAAGCAGCCAGACAATCTGTTCCCTTATATTTCATGTTGAAAGAATAATGAGAAAACGGCTTCGATGAACGCACTAGAGCACGGGTTCCCAACCTGGGGGTCGCGACCCCCCTGGGGGTCGCGAAGGTCTTTCTGGGGGGTCGCCAACTGGTATACTAAACCTTAGTAATTTGAAACGAAACATAAATATTTAGAAGAATTTTTGAAATTCGGCTTTATTAACATCACTGGAAATGTAATAGGAGAAGAAACAAAGCGCACTGTACAAAGTTGTTCTCAGTCACGAATCTATGAAACCTTCGAAACTAAAACGTCATTTGAGACGAGTCATTCGGAACACACCAAAAAATATATGGAGTTCTTTCGTCGATAAGAAGCTAGTTGCAAACGCCAGAGACTTGATCGAACAGGAAGTTTTCACCAGCATTAGTGCAAGCGTCAAATGAAGTCGCGATAGAAAATGCCAAGCAAAAAAAAAAAAAAAAACAATAGGAGAAAATCTCATCAAACGCTGCATGTACGTAAATGTTAAATAACACATTTTTTATTGAAATTAAGCTTTCACCATTGTCTGCTTTTCAAGTTGATAAATCAACAGACGTGAGTTCGTGTTCGCAGTTGCTGGTCTGTGTCTATATTCATGCGGATGATAGCAAAGATAAAAGAGTTGCTCTTTTGTGAAGATAGCATGGAGAAAATAAATGTCTTTTTTGAAACTGGATGATTAAAATGGGGTTAGAACGGCTGTGGGGGTTTGTACGGATGGTGCGCCATCTATGTTTTGCTTAAAATCGGGCTTTCAGAAAACAGAAAAGATTTCGCTCCCTAACCACTGCCCTAATCAATCGACATCAAGAGTCCATTGCTAGTATAAGTAGTAAATTATATAAAATCTGGAGCCTTCAAAGAACTGAGCAAAAACATTAATATAGATCACGAGGTTTTGCTCTTCTACACTACAGTACGCTGCTGTCAAATGAAATGTTGTGAATCGTGTTTTTGAATTGAAATCTGAAATCAAATTGTTCTTAGAAGTGCAAAGGAAACAAGACTTTTTGGTATACTTAAAACGACATAGAGTGGTTGGAGAGAGTATCATACCTAGCAGATATGTTCGAACATCAAGATAAGCTTAACCTGAAGCTTCAGGGAAAATGAACGAATATTATAACTTTCCATGATAATCTCGGGGCATTTTTATCAAAGCTGCAAAATCGGTAAAGAAAACAAATCTTTGGAATATTGTACATTTGAGAAACTCTGCGGTGTGGTAGATTAATCTGATAGTGAGATAATTAAATTTTGAAAGAAGCGATTTCTGGGCATCTTGAATCTCTTGAAAACGAACTGCATCGCTATTTCTCTGAGCTGAAAAAAGAAGAATCTGCATTTACGCATCACCCATTCTCTTCTTCCCTTGATGTTACCAGCATTCCCGATGAATTACAAGATAAATTATTTGATTTGCAGAATGATTCCGTGTAAGATGAAAAACTGCAGACACAGTGTTGGTGTAGTATTCACCATTAATACCCAAACGTAAAATTGATTGACTTTTCGAGAATATATTTTCAACACTATTCTTCGATTAAAAACAAAATTAAGATAATTATAATCAAATAGGTTGGCGTTAACAATTTTTTTTTTTAAATTAAAAACTTAACCTCGAAGGTTTAGTGAATAGTATGCAATTTTACTCATGCTATTAAAACAGTTATCAAGAGTAGTTCATATTGAAAGTCTACTAGAAAATCTTATTTTAGTGCTTATTAATTTCCATACTAATTTCGGCTTTTTAATTCTATGGGGGTCGCGGGGTCACTTACTTTTTATAAAAGGGGGGTCGCCACTCGAAAAAGGTTGGGAACCACTGCACTAGAGTATTATTTCTGTACCAAACTTGTTTGATTCGGCAGACCTCTCCCCCCCCCCCCCAGTGACTTTCAATGGACTCGTAACAGAATATATGTGCTCGTTTTGAACTTATCTCAACTTAACAAAGAATTTAACGCCAGTCAGCCCTTTTAATTAAACTCGACTAAGTATTCACACTGGAGCCTTCCTTTTATTCCACTACTTGTTATGTTGCTACTAGTATAAATGTATCGTAATATCGAATTTGGTTTAGGCCAGGAATTAGATTAGGATCGGCTATGGCTACGATACGCCGTGGGTTAGGGTTTAGCGTTACCATTAGCAAGATTTATTAGATGGCAGTTTACTATCAGTATCCTAACACCCCCATTTTTGGAAGATTCCATACTGTGACGTTTTAGGACCTGCGTAGAACAATCGCCCTAAAGGCGTGTACAGAAAGATCACATTTCACATTCTCGCCCCTTCCTGGTTGTCGAGAATCCAACCCGCTGTTGTTTATTTACGGTGTTTTGTGGTGCGTTATGTTACAAGGTTTCGTTTTTTTTTTTGTGGTGGTCAGCGTGACATGTAGGCCTAAACAGAGTTTCTTTCAGGCATCGCTTCGGGGAATTTATATAGAAAAATATAGTTTTAACAGTGTCCGCCGCCCGTCCGCCCCCCGGAAATTTTATTCCGCCCCCGCCTCCCACGAAATTTTAAAATTTGGTGTGTGGGGGAGGTATTAACTAATTTTTTCGGGGAAGGGGGGGGGGCACTGGTAATAGTATATATTTTCTATTTAAATTCTATTTCGTTAAGGGGAGTTGGGGAGGCATTGCTTCCCTTCCTGAAGAGATGCATGAAAGAAACACCGCCTTTGCCTATCCTAATCCCTGGTCCCTGACGGGCATGGCCGAGGTATAACTGCCATACAGCTAACCGGCAACCCCTCTAACTTTGTGCTGACAAAATCAAAGAACGTCGTTAAAAATTAAAATCGCCAGGTCTAGTCATTAGTAACCACTTAACAAGAGTTGCTAGGCAACATGTTGATGTCGTAATGACGTCAGAGATTTGATCTTTTTGCAAATATCCGGGCTCAGAAAACCAACAGTAAAAAAAAAACGATGTGAGAAACGGTGTGCGTGTAGTAGCCTACTGTTAGCTAATCTACTAATCGGAGGGGATTATTTCTTTTCCCCTACCTGTACACTATTTTACCTGGTCTTATTAATTACCGCAATCAACGCTGCCAATTAATTAGAGTAAACTCTCTAGGTATTTGGTTGCAGATACGTGGGCTGTCTATTAATGAGGTCACACACTTAGGATGGAATGCAAGGGATTGTGCGTGTGTTGGGGGGTGGGGGAGGGGGGGGGGTTAGGAGGAGAGGAGGGGGTTCTTTGTTACGTGAGGATGTGGTGCTTGGCTTGTGTGTGCGTGGTGTGTGTGGGGGGGGGGGGTGAGGAGAGGGTCTGGTTTACGTGGAGATGTGGTGCTTGGCTAGTGTGTGAGTGGTGTGTGGTGGGGGGTGAGGAGAGGGTCTGGTTTACGTGGAGATGTGGTGCTTGGCTAGTGTGTGAGTGGTGTGTGGTGGGGGGTGAGGAGAGGGTCTGGTTTACGTGGAGATGTGGTGCTTGGCTTGTGTGTGAGTGGTGTGTGTGTGTGGGGGGGGGGGGCTGAGGAGGGTGGGGTGTCTGAGTTACGATGAGGTGCTTGGCTTATGTGTGAGTGGTGTGTGTGTGGGGGGGGGGTGAGGGGTGGGTCTGAGTTACGTAGAGATGGGGTGCTTGGTGTGTGGTTGGGATACTTGAGAAATATGTAAAAAAAAACACACACAGTTAGTTTTTCGTAGAGAAACAATTAAGAAAGCATTACATTTTGTTACGTTCATGGATGTGAAATGAGATGAAATTAACATCAATATTTGCTGTTTACTCCCAGTCAGGTCCAACGTTGTCGACAGCCCAGCCTTATATGAAACGGAGCACGCCTACCCCACCATAGGCGCCTTCTTGAACAAAACCTACTACGCCAGGACCCTCCCTCCTGTGCCCCTGGAGTGTCCTACCCCAATGGGGGTCAAAGGTCAGTCACCTGATGGTGATTAGGAAACTCGTTTATCATAGCAGAGCTTATATGTGGATTAAAGTCTTTTCTTAATCCCCATATTAGCAGTAAGGTTATATTATAACATGTGTACATAGTTTTCTATTTGAAAAAAAATTCAAGTTATTAAATTGACTGAATTTTGAAAGTTTAACATTTTTCTAAACACCAAAATAACTAACTTATGTTTTTTTTCCCCCCAAACATCGGTAGCTTCTTAATTAAGTATAAAACTAAGAGTTAAAGATCTTTTTAAAAAATGATCAGTTTGAAGATATAAAAAAGTAACATATTTTTACAGGGCCAAAAGAACTTCCTGATGTCAACTTACTGGTGGAGAAATTTTTTACTCGCACAAAGTTCCGTCCAGAGCCCATGGGCACCAGTGTGCTGATGGCTTTCTTTGCTCAACACTTCACGCACATGTTCTTCAAGACTGATTACACCAAAGGTGTGGGGTACACCTGGGGAGGGCATGGGGTAGGTACACCAGCTCTTGGGTGGAGGGGGGGGTGGGGTAGGTAGGTACATCAGCACTTAGGGGAGAGCATGGGGGTAGGTACACCAGCTCTTGGGGGGTGGGTAGGTAGGTATATCAGCACTTGGGGGAGAGCATGGGGGTAGGTACACCAGCTCTTGGGTGGTGGGTAGGTAGGTTCATCAGCACTTGGGGGAGGGCATGGGGGTAGGTACACCAGCTCTGGGGGGGGGGGGTAGGTAAGTAGGTACATCAGCACTTGGGGGAGGGCATGGGGTAGGTACACCAGCTCTTGGGTGGTGGGGGGGGTAGGTAAGTAGGTACATCTGCACTTAGGGGGTGGAGGGTGGGTTCATCAGCACTTGGGGGATGGCATGGGGGTAGGTACACCAGCTCTTGGGGGGGGGGGTAGGTACATCAGCACTTAGGGGTGGGGGGTGGGGTTCATCTGCACTTGGAGGATGGCATGGGGGTAGGTATACCAGTTCTTGGGGGTGGGGGGGGGGGTTCATCAGCACGGGGGGGGGGCATGGGAGCAGGCACACCAGTTCTCAGGGGGGGGGCAGGGGAAGTCATGGGGTAGGTACATCAGCTCTAGGGGAACGGGAGGGGGGCATAGATACAACAGAACATTGGGGGTGGGTTCGTCAGCATTTGGGGGTTCATTGGATATGTTGGTCATTATTGGGGTATGTATTCATACATAAGAACATGGAGGGGGGGGGGGTCATGGGTTTGTGCTTGGGGGTTAATGAGGTATGCAGGTCATGGGTCATTGAGCAGTCATTGGGGTGTGTATTCCTACATCAGAACTAGGGGAGATTATGCTCCCATTATTTCACATAGCTCATAAACCCTATATCCAACCCCCCTTCCCCCCTCCCCCCGCCTCAGTTGTGTAACACCATTTACTGATTACCCTACTGATGGATTTGAATTATTTCCCCTTAGGTGGATGTCTCCTCCATCTACGGGAAAGACACAGAGGTGGAGCTGTGGTTACGGAGTGGAGTTGATGGGAAGCTAAAAATGCAGGTGAGAGTTAGTGTTAAATATTTTTTTTTTAATTGGATTTAAACAAAATTTCTTTTTAGTAAATGTTCAGGGCTGACCTGATTTAAATTGCTAGGAGACCCAACCTCAAAGGGAAATAATAAATTTTTCTTCTTTGCTTAAATGTAATATTGAAGTGGATTTCCTCAATGTATTATTTGTCAACATGTTATGTGCCATATGACCTGTTGACTCCAACTTCACCCTGTTTTTCCTCTTAGCTTCCGTAGCATTACTAACATATAAAAATCTGACCTAAAATGGTTGTTGGGTTTTGGAGTTTTTAAACCCAAGTTAGGTTGCTGTCCCCAGCTAACAAGCCTCATTTGTCGTGGGTCCGAACTCTGGACTTTTGGAGTTAGAAATCATACACTCTCTAGGGACTGCATGGCCTAGTGTTAGAGCGCTAGATTGCTAACCAGAAAGTCTTGAATTCAAAATCCAGGTTCAAGTCAATAAAACATCCTTGAGTCTACCCAGCTCTGATGGGTCGCTAACTAACATTAGGTAAAATTAAGGCGGCTGAGTATAGAGCTGACCACACTATCCCTTCATAAACCGAGGTCACTGAAACAGATGAACTCTAGGGTTTACCAAAAGTTGTACACCAGCTGTTTTTACAAGTTTAAATATTTATCTTAAAAAATACCCTGATAAATTCAACTCAATTTCAACAATTGAACAAGAATTGATAGGTAACAAAACTTAATTGCTTTAATTAGTGCACCTTTTGGTATTACAAGTTTAAAATTGTATCTTTAGAAATATCCTAATAAATTTAATAAACAAGTCTGTGTAACAAAACTTAATTGCTTTAATTAGACAGTCAACAACGAGGAGTACCCGATGTACAACAAGGACGTGCCTGTCAAGATGACGTACGCCCCTAATGTACCAGAACACCACAGATTCGCCATGGGCCACCCTTTCTATGGCCTCTTGCCTGGTTTGTTTCTATACCAGACCATCTGGATGAGGGAACATAACCGCGTCTGTGATATTTTAAAGGGAGAGCACCCTGACTGGGATGATGAAAGGCTCTTCCAAACTGGAAAGCTGATTATTTTAGGTCAGTCCTGCTTTTTTTAGACAAGGATTTTCTTAAATATTGCAGCATGTGTTCATGTAACCTGAATTTTTGCTTTTTATTTTACTGAACAAAAAGAACAAAATTATGCAAATCAGTGTTATTCTAGTGTAAAAACAGTAAATAAATTAAAATTTAATTAGATAATAAATTAATCATTGAATAGAAATTTCATTATTAACCACTACTACTAGTCTACATAGGCCAGGGGTCGGCTCTTTTGATATCAAGATGCGGCTCTCCAGCTTTTTGAACAAATACTAATAATCTTAATAAAAAAATAAAATATTTAAAATAAAAAAAAATGTTAGTGGCTCTTTAAAACCAGGAAAATTTTGAAAATTGTAACTTTTGGCTCTTCAGCTTCTAAAGGTTGCCGACCCCTGACATAGGCAAGCAATATAAAATAATTTAAAATTCAAAAAGGGAAATAATCTTTTACTTTTACTCCAAGTGGACTTTTATAAAAGGCAGTAACTAAATAAAAAATTTCCGAATGATTAAATAAATATAATTGTTTCAATAGTTTAAACTTATTTGTGTGTTTTATGATTAAACACTCTAGTTTCACTTTCTACTGACTACCACATGAGTGTTAAGGTCAACAGTTTATAAAATTTAAACTTTTCGAATGAACAGGTGTTCTGTTAAATGAATTTAATATCCAATGAACCCCCAAATGCTGGCTGATGAACCCACCCCCCAATGTTCTGTTGTATTAATTTATTGGGAAAAAAACTTCTATTTAATCTAGCTGGATTAAACTATTTAAATCTAATGTTAAAATATAAGACTAACAGTCAGAATAGTTACTATCTGGTAAATTAATTCCTTCTAATTAAGCTTACGTTTTAAAAAAATTAAGCATTTTTGCTAAACTGTAGACGCTGTAAAAAAAATGCTTTGCTACTCTTGTGCAGGTGAAACCTTAAAAATTGTAGTAGAAGACTACGTCCAGCACCTGGCCAACTACAACATAGAAATCAAGTTCAAGCCCACGGTTTTGTTCGGGGAACACTTCCAGTACCAGAATAAAATCAACGCAGAGTTCAACGACCTGTACCACTGGCACCCCCTGATGCCGGATGAGTTCAACATCAGCGGCACCATTTACCCCATGAAAGACTTCATGTTCCACTCGGAGCTTGTGCTCAAGCACGGGACAGCCAGTTTCACAGAGTCTTTGTCGAGGCAGCGAGCAGGGCATGTAAGTTTACGTTAAGGTTAAGTAAAGTTCCCCCTCCAAACCTGTCGGTCTATGGAGCAAGTGAAGTAGAGTTCACCTGTTTCTGTGGCCTCGGCATATGAAGGGATAGTGTGGTCAGCCGCATTTACTTTCCCTGACGTGAGTTAGGTACCCATCAGAGCTGGGTGGGCTCTGGGACGGTCTATTAAACCTGGATTTGAACTCGAGACTTTGGGGCTCTTATAGCTCTAGCTTCTACCGCTAGGCCACTTGGTCCTGTTTAATTTTAGCTGATGATTTACCTTTTTATTAATAGGATTAATTTAGTGTTGAAGATTTTCTGGTTAATTATTGCTAGGCCTATTTATAGGCTACATAAAAAAATTGAAGATTCCCCTATAAACCTAGTTATTCTTTAGGAAGATGAAGTAGAGTTCATATGTTTCTTGACCTCAGCATATGAAGGGATGGTAGGGTCACACTCTGCCCAGCTGCTTTTACTTTCCCCAATATAAGTCAGGTACCCAACAGAGCTGGGTGGACTCAGAGATATCAAACTCAGTCACAAGTCTGTACAAAGTTAAAACCGGAGAATACTACATGTTAGCTGTTGAAGGTTATCTGATTTATTACTAGTAGTAATACATGTAGCTACTCAAGTTCTTACTAGTATTAATAAATACTTGATGTTTAGCTCAGGCTACCAATTACAGTTAGCATGATTAAAAATTAGTTGGGCTTTGTTTAGGGTTTAACTGTAGAACTTGAATTCTACCAAATGTATGTGTAGATGTTTCTATTCTAGGGATTAACAAACAATTTTAGTATTATTAATTACTTTTAAGTTTATCAGCATACAACTTTTATTTTAATTTGTAGATTACTAATTTTTTAATTTGCAACCATCCTTTGTTTCTCTACTGATATGTCATCTTTATGAAACAAACTCATTTGATCACATACAATATATATAAGACATAACCTTTTATCACACAGGCCTACACTATTTATATTAAAGGCCTGTCTTTTCCTTTAGTCCTCTAATGGCTTAATGCTAATCCCAACCCCAATTTTGATCTTGACAGATGTCCCATCACAACCACGGGCCTTCAACTATAGGTGTGGTAAGGGACACAATCCTCCATGGTAGAAAGTTGAGGTACCAGTCGTTGAACAACTACAGGAGACGGTTTAACCTTGAACCATACGAGTCATTTGAAGATTTAACAGGTGGGTTCAATAACATGGTTCAGAACATGGTCATTCTTCAAGTTTGTTCAACTGAACAGGCATTTATTAAGTTTGTTTAATAATATCAATAAAACTTGAACTGATGAATAATATCAATTAAACTTGATCATTCATCAAGTGGGTTGAATAATATCAATACAGTAAGCATCTATCAAGTTTGTTTAATCATATCAACAAAACAGGGGCTTTCCTTAAGTTTGCTCAATTATTTCAATTAAACTGGTGGCAGTTATCCAGTTTGTTTTTTAAATAAACCCTGCTAAACTACACCTGTCAAGAATCTGTTTAAATCTGTGTTGATGTAAGCCGGTTTAAAGCAGCTTAAAGAAAAGGGGAAAAGGCATATATTAAAGATTAAGAATGTATGAGGTAATATTACTGTTCTCTAATGGGAGATTACTCATATATATTAAATGATTTTTAAAAATCTTTACTTTTTTCAGAACTAAGCCCTCTTTAGGTATAGTTTAAATGCTTTTTACATTTGATTTTTTACTTTCCAATGTTCTAGGTGAAAAGGAAATGGCAGCAGAGCTGGAGAAACTTTATCTAGATATAGAAGCAGTAGAGTTCTACGTTGGAATACTGGTTGAGAAGCGGAGGGTAAAAAATCTGTTTGGCTCTACCATAGTAGAGATCGGAGGACCTTTCTCTGTGAAAGGGTTGATGTCCAACCCAATCTGTAGCAGACACTACTGGAAGCCCTCGACCTTTGGCGGGGAGGTGGGCTTCAACATCATCAAAACTGCAACTCTTAAAAGTTTATTTTGCAATAACATAAAGGGCCCATGCCCGCTAGTGACATTTAGGGTTCCTGACTTTAAAGAAGGGGATGTAGATGAGTTAAATAATTTCAGGCTTAAAACTGAGTTGTAGAATAAATAGTTTGTTGTTTTTAAATTCTAGGAAATATTTTTATTGAAATTTATAAACTTGTATATAAATGATGTGAAAGTATGTGTGAAAAATAACTCGTGTACATAGAACATTGATGTGGATTGGTGTTAATTTGCGAGCATGGTTTTATTGAATGCCTGAGAACACTATTTAAATTTGTGTTCAGATTTTTATTGTTTTATCATGTTGATTAAAGTACTTGCCTAACGTTTTTATTGATGGTTATATCTTGTCGAAGATGTAAACAGTTCTACGGTCTGTGATCAGCATCACTAAAGTAACCACAGGCTTATAAACATATACCATCCTTGATATTAATCAACATCCTTGAAGGTGGCCACAAGTAGATCAACATATCGTCCTCATTGGTTGAAATATTTTTATCCATAACAACACGTTGACAGGGAAAACATCCTTTGAAGTCAACAGTTAACCAATGGCATAAACATCCTTGATGATGAGTCCAAACATCTGGATGTTTAGTAACATCCGTGATGAAGACCACACACAGACAAACACACTTCCTGTAAAATTCAACACAGCTTGTCATCACCAAGGTAACCAAGGTAACACACTACAAACATGCTGTTTACCATGTTTGTTTACAAAAAAGTAATTCCATCATTTCATGGATGAAATAAACAAATGACAAAAAAATTACAAATGTATAAACTTCATGCATAAAATGAATGTGTCTGTGGATTTTCAGATGAACATATTGTAAGGTGCATACAAGCAAAATGACATAACTATTATTTTTTTGTTATTGTAAGGTGCATACAAGCAAAATGACATAACTATTATTTTTTTGTTATTGTAAGGTGCATACAAGCAAAATGACATAACTATTATTTTTTTGTTATTGTAAGGTGCATACAAGCAAAATGACATAACTATTATTTTTTTGTTATTGTAAGGTGCATACAAGCAAAATGACATAACTATTATTTTTTTGTTATTGTAAGGTGCATACAAGCAAAATGACATAACTATTATTTTTTTGTTATTGTAAGGTGCATACAAGCAAAATGACATAACTATTATTTTTTTGTTATTGTAAGGTGCATACAAGCAAAATGACATAACTATTATTTTTTTGTTATTGTAAGGTGCATACAAGCAAAATGACATAACTATTATTTTTTTGTTATTGTAAGGTGCATACAAGCAAAATGACATAACTATTATTTTTTTGTTATTGTAAGGTGCATACAAGCAAAATGACATAACTATTATTTTTTTGTTATTGTAAGGTGCATACAAGCAACATGACATAACTATTATTTTTTTGTTATTGTAAGGTGCATACAAGCAAAATGACATAACTATTATTTTTTTGTTATTGTAAGGTGCATACAAGCAACATGACATAACTATTATTTTTTTGTTATTGTAAGGTGCATACAAGCAACATGACATAACTATTATTTTTTTGTTATTGTAAGGTGCATACAAGCAAAATGACATAACTATTATTTTTTTGTTATTGTAAGGTGCATACAAGCAAAATGACATAACTATTATTTTTTTGTTATTGTAAGGTGCATACAAGCAAAATGACATAACTATTATTTTTTTGTTATTGTAAGGTGCATACAAGCAAAATGACATAACTATTATTTTTTTGTTATTGTAAGGTGCATACAAGCAAAATGACATAACTATTATTTTTTTGTTATTGTAAGGTGCATACAAGCAAAATGACATAACTATTATTTTTTTGTTATTTCCATCCAAAGCTGTTCAAACATTATTTATTAAAAAACAAAATCTGGTTCAGACTTTTATTTTTTTGTCATGCATGACCTGAGGTATCTTGTTGGGACTCCCCCCACCCCTCCTTTTTGGATACACTCCCCCCCCCCCCACACCCTGATTGATTTTAAATTTAAAGGTTTGAAAACTGACATAAAGATGTTATAAACTTTTAGAAAAACTTGATTCTCCATAATTGTCATAAATTAATCAACACGCCCCCCCCCCCCCGCCCCCTTGCTAGGATACTTAGTTACTGTATTAGATGTTCCTTTAAGCTTATTCTGTAAGGTGAACCATCATCTACTAAAGCTTATTAATACCCCCCCCCCCCCCTTCCCTCACTCCACCCAGGATAGATGCCTTAAAGTATCTCTGCATTTGGCCTATACAAATTCTTGTGAAGCCATAAGGAATAGAATCAATTTAAAATTTAAATGGAAATTCTAGAGACCTAAAAAACCACACTACTGCCATTTATGTTGTGTACTAAAAATTCTCTATTGAAGTAGATATAAATTTGGTGTTGATCTATTGTGAACTTTTTCAAAATTTTTTTTTTTGAAAGCTGAAGTAGGATAAAAGCTAAAGTTAGATAAAGGCTGAACTTGTATATAGCGTAGTTATTGTAGTAATTAACTAAGTATGGTTGTGTCCATCTAAGTAGACTTATAAATATAATTTGCTTGGCTCGTTTGTCCGTCTGTAACTTGAAACATCAAGGGAAACTACTCCGTTTGGATTTTCATAGTGTTTGATATTAGAATATATCTTTCAATTTTATTACTTTTTTAAAATTAATTTTTTTTAACATTCACTTTAATTGGTCTATTTTTTTTCCATTACCAGCTGATACTTTTAAAATTCTACACTTAATACGTATAAGCCGATCTCGAAAGAAGGTACATTTAAAATGTTACTCAAATGACTATAACATAAATACCGAACACAAGTAAAGAAGGATTAAATGAAACAGGAAACTAGTTTTAAAATAATTATGTTTCGTTCAAGAGGGAGTGGGGTGGTAGTGCCCCTCCCCCCTCCCCACCCGGAGAGATGCATGAAAGAAACTCCGAGGGTGAATTGGTTGTGTGGCTTTTGATAACACACGAGCTTCGTTTTAGTATGCATTATTGGTTTCTTTTATAAATAGGTCTGCTACTTCAACTTTTGGAACGGCCACATATTAATTAGGAATAATTTTATTTAATAAATTAATTTCAGTTATTTGACGTATTAGGTAAGTGTTATGTTGTAAATGGGGTGGTTGGGAGTTCCTGTCTCCGAAGGAGTGGAATAGGGTTGGTGAGGATGTGGCGAGAGGATGGTTTATGTGGTAGAGTTCAGCTAATAATAGTTCGTCTGTCTGAAACTCTGTATCATTTAACTCTTCAGATAGATCAAAAGATGGTTCTCAAATTGGATAAAATATTTTTTTATCATTCGATGTTGACATGAAGTTTTATCCATGGGGTCTGGTCCAGACCACAAAAGTATAACATTTCGAGTTTCTTTGTTGTCTTATTTTATGCATGTCCGCTTACGGGGTTTATGCTAGTTAAAAACTATTTGTATACATTTTACTCATGTAGATGATCAACAAATTCGATTCTAGCTATTGAGCAGTTGTTTTTTGTCTTTCTCTGAGAATCCATCCATACGATGTATAAATACTTTAACTATGAATTAAGGGCCTTATGATTGTGTTTTTTTTTTCTATTGCAATAGATAGGCTCGCATGCTTAATAAAACTTTATAAAGTTTAGCAAAAGATTTTACTATATTTTCTTACCAATGGAGTGTAATTTTTATCTCTTGAATGTCCAGCTCTATTTTATATAACGTAATACTCAGTGAGGTCCATACAATGATCGATTAATTTTGTCATTAAACAACTCAAATCTTTGATTTGTGTCCATTTGTGTTTTATGTAACCGTTTTTAGACTCTGTAGCTACACGTCATGTTAACTATTTGTTAAAAATTGTTTAATTAATACAGTAACTAGTGTGGAATGGTATGATCATGTGGTGTAGCACGAATCTGGATGTCTGGAGTTCAGTCCCTTTCTCACACATTCGTTAATCTGGAAATCTGGAATTCAGCCCCTTTAGCACAAGTTCATCAATTTGGATCCAGTGCCGTAGCGAGGTCGGGTGTCACGGTGCGGCACTAATGATTTCACCCTCTAGAGGCGTAGCGACCCTTCCCGGGGACAAACTTTCAATTTTCGATTTGCACCCCCCCCCCCCCTCAAACGTGCACCTCTTAAAATACTATTTAACACTCGAATTAATCACTTAATTAAGTGGAATTATCATTTTTCTCTATATATTTTGCTATGTTTGCCTTGGTGTCACTCGGTGCGGTCCGCACCCCCGCCCCCCCCCCCCTCGCTACGCCACTGTTTGGATGCCTGTAGTTCAGTCGCTTTAGCACAAGTTCATCAATCTGGATATCTTGAGTTAATTCCCTTTAACACAGACTTGTTAAGTTAATCTGGAAATCTGGAGTTCAGTCCCTTGACTGAACTACACAACCACTGAATTCACCTTGTGTAAAGACTTAGATTAAAGATTGTACTTCAGTGTTAATAATCAGTGTTTCTTCCAGACTTTTCTCTCCGTGGGTGGGGGGGGGGGGGGGGGCACTTGATTTTTTTCGGGGGGGGGGGGGGGGCGGACACTGGTAAAAGTATATATTTTCTATATTAATTCCATATAAATTCCATTTCTTTCGGAATGCCTGGAAAAAACTCTTTTTAATAATATAGCTGCTTTTTAAGCTGTGATTTAGGAAGTATGGCGGCACACTTTAGCATTTAAAAAAAAGGTAACTTTAGCAGTTATTTTATTTTGGAAGCTAAGTGAAAATTGCCTTTAATATTAAGCTTTATTTTCTATTAATTCATTATAAAATATATTATACTGATATAGTGACTGGTTAACATATTTTACCCTACACAAAAATACATGTCCCTTTTCCTTCCATACAAAGGGAAAAAACTCATTTAATATTTTGATATATTTAATCACGCTTTACTTATTCCCCTTAGTGAAGGAAACTTGCAAAATGTATATTTAGAGAAAATGGTGAAAAGGTGGGGCAGGGCGATAAGCTTTGACTTGTTATCACTCTGTGGATGACCTGTAATATTTTTTTTTTAGTATTGACAACTGGTTTTAATATAATTACTAATACGCCAAAAAGATAAATGTAAAAAATAATTATTAAAAACAAGTAGGCCTACTGTTTAACAGGGGTCTCCAAACTACGGCCCGCGGGCCGGATGCGGCCCGCGAGGTCCTTTCATCCGGCCCGCGGCGATCTTTTTGTCCATGGAATAAATGTTTGTTAGAGATGGCTGAGGACCATTGGACAGAAAATTCAAACAATTTGAAAATGTAGCTTTGGATGCAAATACCATTGCCCGCCGTGTTGCAGACATTGGTGAAAACATCGTGACTCAAATAGCGGAAAATGCAAGCAAGTTCAGCCATTTTTCAATCTGCAATGGATGAGTCGCTGGAATCTGCTCCACCTCTCAACTGCTTGTGTTCATGAGGTGAGGATGAAGACATAAATATAACACAAGAGCTGGCTTCCATACATAGAATGTATGGCACTGTTACCGGAGAGGATATCTGACCATAGATAGTTTAGAGACATGTTGAAAAATGCAAGCACATAATCGCAAGATTAACCATATTTCACAGCAGTATCACGTTCAATGGCTGCGCCATCACTTCAGTAGGCGCGCAATGGTTTTTAGTCATGTAACTCTATTGTAAATAAAACATGTAAAGTACTGAAAAAAAAATTCATAAAAAAAAAACGTTTTAATAACAAGCTTTTATGTAATAATGCACTAAAAAGTAGAAAATAAATTATAGACTACTATTTAAATTACTATAAAGAAAAGCGTGGGTCTCTTCTCAAATATTAGTAAAGGTATCCAATAGGTACTAAAGTGCTAAAGTGACCCACGCTTTTCTTTATAGTTATTTAAATAGTAGTCTATAATTTATTTTCTACTTTTTAGTGCATTATTACATAAAAGCTTGTTATTAAAACGTTTTTTTTAATGAATTTTTTTACCCCCTCCGCTTGTAGGCGTAGGCCTACTGTCATAAAAATTAACTAGGGCAACATGTATATTTATTTTTTGTTAAGCGCGACAACTCTTTTATACTGTCGACAGCATCATCCAAGCTTGGTTACTTCCCCTAAAGAGAGGATTATAATATCTGAATATGTGACTATGTGATGAGGGTATGTCATGCCACCCCCCCCCCCCCCTCCCTACACGGACAATATAGAACACAATATTAAAATCAAATATGAAATAAATAATTTAATCACCGTCCACCCACACTAAGGTAAATGGATGGGGTGAGTGGTGTGTGTGGAGGAGGGAGGGGGGGGGGGGGTGACTATGAAGTAAAAACAATCGGTAAAATAAGTTTCCTCGTTAGAGGCATCTTCAGAGGCGTATCCAGGTTTTCGGCGTAGGGGGAGCGGAAATAGCAAAAAAAAAGGCGCCGAATTTGTAACATCTTATATATATATATATATATATATATATATATATATATATATATATATATATATATATATATATATATATATATATATATATATATATATATATATATATATGTATATATGTATATATATATATGTATATATGTATATATATATATATATATATGTATATATATATATATATATATATATATATATATATATATATATATATATATATATAAACACACTACAACCAGAAACAATGAACGCGGCATAATCTGTTTCGTAATCCTTGTAAAAAATTTACATAATAATTCCTGGGACATCTATTAAGACTAGAGAAAAGGGGAAATAATCAATATCTTAATATAAATATGTATATGTCTACACATTTTATTAAAAATATCAAAACAAATTAATAATTACTTCAGAATCTAATAAAGTAGCTTAACACTTTTCGATTATACAAAAATATTTTGTCTACATT